ATTTTCTGGGATCTAGAAATGTTAACCGAAAAGTTAGCCCCCGAAGAGAAGGCGAAGTTAACCCATACCGAAAGATTACAGATGCACAAGCCGTGTGGCTATTGTTATGTAGTTGTTCGTATGGATAGTTCACTTAACTATGAGATTATGAGTCATGATCTATACAGAGGTCCAGATGCACTTGAAAGATTCGTTACAAAAATTGAGGAGGAGCAGGTAAACATACAGGAGGACTTATCCGCGCCGGCTGAAATGATAATGGCACCAGGAGATCTGAAAACGTACAATGAAGCGACAGAATGCTGGATTTGCAAGGGACCTTTTTTAAAACCAGCACCAGAGGTGGTACAAAAGCTCAAAGAAGCAAAGCATAATTTATTAGAAATCAAAGAATGGGAAACATGTATGGAAAAAGAACATCCTAAAAAGAAAGAGGCACAGAAAGAATATAGCAAAGCTTTAAGTGGGATCAATCGAAAAGTAAAAGACCACGACCATATAAGTGGTAAGTTCTGAGGTCCAGCTCATGATGTCTGCAATAAAAAGTTGCTGATAGGATCTTTTGAGACGAAAGTGCCTCTCATCTGCCATAATTTCTGTGGGTATGATTCCCATCCGCTTATGAAAGTTGTGAGCAAGTTCACAGCTGATAAGCTAAATTGCATTCCAGAAAATATTGGAAATTATAAGGCCATGGATGTAGGTCAACTCCGATTTCTAGATAGTTTTCAGCATATGGCAATGGGTTTAGATAACTTAGTAGCATGTCTAGGAGAAAACCCAGAAAAGTTCCCCCTAAGTGTTAAGCATTTCACAGAGAAAGGCTACTCAATAGATAAGATTAAGCTTTTTTTTCGAAAGGGCGTTTTCCCATATGACTGGACAAATGCATGGGAAAAATTCGACAGAATAAGCCTCCCACCTAGAAAGGGTTTCTATTCGCTTCTTAGCCAGAAAAATATTAGTAAAGAGGATTATGAACATGCTCAAAAGGTATGGCAGGAATTTGAGATGAAGAATTTTGGAGAATATTATGACTTATATCTTGAGACAGATGTACTCTTACTAGCTGATGTATTTATGAACTATACCATCATGTGTCTGCAAGTTGATGGCTTAGACCCTTCCCACTACGTCTTAGCACCTGAAATGTTTAATGATTCTCTTTACAAAAGTAGTGGGGCAGAACTCAAACTCATGACAAATATGGATGAATATCTAACGGTAAAAAAAGGCATTCGTGGAGGTATGATAATGTCAAGTCATCGATATGCCAAAGCAAATAATCCACAATGTCTAGACTATGAGTCCAGCAAGCCGAATTCCTGGATCATGTATGAGGATATGAATGCCTTATACTCAGGCGCGATGACCCAATACATGCCTACTAAGGTTGCTTGCCGAAACCTAGGGGTTTAGGCGAGATGGCGTTTCGCCGAAAAGCGAAATTCTGCTGAAACTATATTAAAGTTATATTAAAAAACTGGCGAAACTTTGGAGAAAAGCGAAACTGCCAAAACTTATTATAAATGCCGAAATTGCCAAAACTCTGCCAAAACTATAATAAATCTATAGTAAAATTTTGACGAAACTAATTGTAGGATTTTGAAGAGGTTTAGACAAGCAACCTTAATGCCTACAGAAATCTTGGGTAAGGTGAACCCGAAGGAAATACCAGATATCCAAAGCATCGCACCTGATGCAGATATAGGTTATACACTTGAAGTTGATCTAGAAATTCCAGTATACTTGCACGATTACTTTACAGATTATCCATTAGCGCCAGAAAAGCAAATAGTACCTGAAAACTGGTTAAGTCCATACAACGCAAAATTAGTACAAGACAAGGAAGTAGGAGGTGGCAAATATGTAACAGGAGAAAAGCTCGTCCAACCCCTTTATTCCAAAAAGAACTACGTGGTCCATTATCGTGCATTTCAGCTATATATGAGACAAGGGCTAAAGGTCACAAAGATCCACGGCGCACTCAAGTTTAAGTAATCCCCCTGGATGAAAGAATATATTGAGGAAAACATTCGCAAGCGTAAAATTGCTAAAGCTAATGGGGACGAGTTTGGGGTCATGTACTATAAGCTAAAGAACAATGCAGTCTTTGGCAAACAAATGGAAAATGTTCGTAAACATATGAGAGTAGAATTACTCCGAACAGAAGAGGATAAAAAAATCAGGCGCCTAGCAAGTTCACCATTGTATGTAGGCTTTAAAGCATTCGAAGGGGGAATTACAGCAGTCTATATGTTAAAAAGTACAGTAACTCTAAACAAACCAATCTATGTAGGGCAGGCAATTCTCGACATTAGCAAGGCTATGATGTTCAACTTTTGGTACAGTTACATAAAGCCTCGCTATGGAGATAAGGCCCGTCTACTTTATACAGATACAGACTCGCTCATAATGTGGATAGAAACTGAAGACATATATAAAGATCGAGCAGAAAGACCAGATATTTTCGATCTTAACTATTCAGGAGACTTGTTTCTAATGAAGGATGAGACAAAAGGGGATCCAATAGACGAATCAGTATGCTTAAAGCCAAAAATGTATTCAGTTCTTCCAGCAGGTCATGATCCTAAAACTCCCAATGATCCCGATTCAGAAGACCCTAAAAAGAAGCATGACATCCAGAAGGCAAAGGGTGTTAAGAAATGCGTGGTTAAGAGAGAACTTCAACATGATAAGTTTCTAGAATGGCTTAGGAACAAGAAACTAACCCGGCATGATATGTATGGCCTCCGAAGTTATGATCATCAAATATATCTGGAGAGGGTAAATAAGATAGGGCTGAATCCATATGATAACAAGCGCTGGATCTTACTTGATGGAATTCGAACTCTCCCCTATGGACATTGGCGAATTGGATTATACAAACGCCTGGTAGCATCTGGAATATCTCCTGAGAAAGCAGAAGAAAGGGCTATGAAACTTAGACTTCGAGTCAAGGAATAGAGACTTTATAACAAATATTTTTTCTGGAGGTAAAATTATCAAAGAATATAATTTTATTAATTAAAGTTTTTCTATTGCTATATTAGAAACATACAAAAATGGTAGATCATAAAGATATAGAACTTGCGCAATTCAAAGTCATAAAAACTGCTTTGCGAAAGGGCAGAAAATATGATAATCTTGCGAAAAATTATGGAGATTATCTAAAGAAACTGCGAGCTGAAAAGGATCTGAACAACTATATTAAGACACTTGCAGTAAAAATGTTCCCTAAGGAAGAAGCATATACTGAAAGGCTAGAAAATTATCGCAAAAGGTATGAAGATAATGATCTATATAGCAGTTTAGAGGTATTATATGAGCTTTATTATCTAATAGCTAGGGAGGAGAATCGCAAAAGATCAGATGACGAAATAGAGCAGATGTTCAAAGCAATGGCAATCTAGTCGTCTTTGGCAAAGCTTTTATATAAAGATATTTTTTCGTCTAGAGAATAATGTAGGTGAAAATTAGCAATTGAAATAAAAAACATTAGTTAAGTAAATCATTACGTTTGATATACAATGCATTCATACAACCCGCTCGAAAAAGCAGATACAATTGCTATAATCATTCAAAAGCTTCCATTAGAGGTTCTTGATAAGCTCTGCTGGATAAATAGTACTTTGTATAAATAAATCCAGCATGAGTTTCGTCTAAGATGGAAGATACAAGTACTAGAATACTATAAATTGGGACATGAAGAAGAGAAACTGGAATATCTCTTTAATTGGGATGTAGTATCAGAGGAATTTATTGAAAGGGAAACCGAAATAGCTAAAAAACAGGTAGAGATCGAAAGATATATGCTTCATAATGGAATGCTTGAAGGACAGGAAAAAGAAATAGTCAAATATAATATTCGGCAGATAGCTAAAAATGTTGTCCCATGGTTGGATGTAGATAAATGGGAAGAATCAGAATTTTTAGGTTTCATTAAAAAAGATATATGCGTAGGATTTGCTTCAAAAGAATATAATAGACCTTTTGGATTTGGAATGAAACAATTTATAAACAAGATCCTTTATTATGATGATGAAACGCTGTATTTTGTAGAGGATGATCCTATATAAGAGAATGTGCCTGATGTTATTTTAATTCATATACTGTAACATAGTCTAGAACAGTGAACAAGAGAAGAATCGCTAAAGATCAGATGATGAAATGTTATATATTTTTTCTGGCATATGAGCAAGCAAGTGGGTAGGTAAGTCACTATGCATATATTAATATTATTTTTTTAATTAAGGATATAGGCTCTTATAACAAAGTATGGGGTTTTCTAGCAAATTACACAATATGTAAAGTTTAGATGATATTATAGAAGATGCGAATAAAAATATTAAAAAGGTGTTTCTAGCAGGGGTTGCACCTGAATTTTAACAAGAAGTCTATATAATTGGTCTTAAATTAACATTGGATAGATTGGCACGAGAGCTAAAGTTTGCACAAAAAGATGATTGTTCTTCTAAGCCAGCCAGCCTGGAGCAGTGATCACGTAATTTTATTTTTTCGTTTAAAGATACAACATATAACATGCACTATATATGGCGCAATCAAGCATCTTTTATTTACCAGAACTATTAGAACAGATTTTACATTTCTTATTGATAGATAAATCCCTCTATCCCGCTCTATATGTATCCCGATTGTGGTACAGATGCGGTGCCCCTATTCTATGGAGACGCATTGAGCTAAAGGGAAATGAAGTAGAGGATAAATCTCGACTGGAAAAATTTATGAAATTAGTACATGGTGTGGTATACCACTCATGGGGAGGGCGAAAACCAATCTATAGCTCAAAATTAACTCATCTTAAAATATCACACTACCGACTTTCAAATAAAAAAATCAAAGGCATTGTGCAGATGTTCACTTTGAAGGAAGTATGGACTGTACAGGTAAAATTCTAAAGCTAATAGCAAAATCATATTCAAATTTGGAGTATCTTAATATATCTGCTATACGTGGAAGTTTTAATTTGGAAAATGATAAAGGCCTATGTGCAATCACGAATTCATGTTATAAAATAGAATGTCTGAACATTTCTAGACGTACAGAGTTTTCTGAAACATCAATTTGTAGTGTTATTCGTTCTTGCCCAAGGCTCCAGCATCTTGACCTCAGCTTTTGTAAAATTACCGATATAACTATCAAAGAAATTGCTGGTTCGTGTCTTAACATAAAGTACCTCAATTTGGAAGGGTGTAATAATATTAGCAAAGAAGCCATAGATCAGCTCGTTTCACTTAATCCAAATATCCATGTTGAGAATTTCATGCCGATTCGGGTACCTTCCCTAGATGTGATCCGCGAACTCGCAAGGAGTCTGGGGATACCACATGATGCACCAAGAGATGTTGCATCCTTAGATAATTTTATTATCGACAAATTATCAAGGAGATTGAGTGAACGTTGTATTCTAGCTAGACTATCGCTCTGAAGTGGTGGTCGATTATATAACACCCGGCATAGTGTTGATAATAATCAGTATTCAGTTATATCTCAGATGCGCCAGCAACCTAACAGACGATCGCCAAGGATTAATTTCGGTAGAATACTAGCTGATCAAGTAGAATGGTGGTACTCTACCGATCTAGCTAGTCCGGAGCAGTAATCACTTCACTCAAAAGAAGAATTTGCTGGGCCATGCACAGCGCCTTCGGTCAGATTGTGTGACAAAAAATATAGATTAGCTAATCTGTTCTAGACATAGGCACTGTCCGGTGCTAGATGGATTTTTGACGAATATTTCATGCAATTGTTGAGGAGAGAGATTTGGAAATAACGGTAGTATCTCTCCGGAAAACTGAATTTTATTTACCCCCATTTCACCATATTTCTGTAAAATCACAATTGGAACATCTTCTAATGGACCGTGGAATTCCTCAAACTTTTGGAGATATGCTCTTGCTTTTTCATCGACTTCTTCTGCCCTTTCTTGATTAGAATAACCAATAATACCGAGTTCATCTTGAATTGTTATTATATCCTCTTCCAGATATAAAAGCAAATTATATATTTCTCTATATGAAATATCCGTAGAAGCTTTATTGCTTTGGAGTGCCTCTTCTAGAATGGGATTACCATCAATGCTGAGATCATCCTGTATTGGTATTATATCTTCCACCAAATTTAACAATAACTCATATGAATCGGCAAGTGTTTTTTGCCTTCTAGCTTCAATGTTTGTCATTTGATTTGCATTACCACTAATACCGAGTTTTTTCTGAATAGCTATTATATCCTTCTTCTTATATAATAGCACTTCATATAATTGATTAAGTGTTTCGAAATCATTTGCCATGATTGCTATAATAAAGTAATATATTTAATGAGGAAATATTATGTTCGGAATACTGATCGTCAACCTGGGATAGTGATCATCAGCTCGGAAGAATTTGCTGGGCCACTCCTGTGCGACAGAAAAATAAGTGGATCATCAGTCAGGTCATGTGCAACATAATTTTCGCATATACTGAAAAGAAGCTATGCACGCTACCAGTACTTTATTTTTTATTAAGTATAATTGCTCTATTAGCAAAATGTCAGATGACGAGACAGATGAAGGCTACAATGAATTTATCGAAGAATATGGATCGAGATATGAATGGGATAATAAAGGGAATCCTGAATTTATACCAGAGTGGGAAGACTGGGAAGATCTTTTTTGCGAAATCAAAATCTATTGGAAGACAAAGGCAATTAGGCATTGGAAAGAAAAAATACTTAAGAAATTTGTATATAGTCTGCCCGGCATAAGAAATCCAGCATCATTATTTCATGTATTCATACAATTCAATGCTTTTTACCTCCTACAAATTTTAAGCCTAATAGAATTACCGTATAGTGCCGAGGAACTTTGATGGGAAATATGGCCGGATGGTAAAGATACAGATGAGATCAAGGTAGAAAATAATGCAGATGAGGTTGATAAGTTCCGGTGTGGGTCATTGCTTCAAGATGAAGACTCAATAGTGGATTATTACTCAAAGATAAAGAGATGTAACGATGTTATCAAGCTCTGTAAAAATCATCTTAGAGAATTATTCCATAAAGGATTGTCATCAGAAAGTCAAAGGTATATCGCAAGATTTGGATGTTATTATAATCACGATCTTGATCCTGATAAAATGGTAGAAATGCTTATTCGAGCTGAAAAGGAAAATGTGCCCAATCTAATTACCGCATTTAGTGATTATCTTAGTCAGGTTAGCAATGTTCAGATTTCGACCCAATCTGGGTTCTCTAATAATAATATTATTTCTGCTTTTCTTAATCTGGAATTAACAAGACCCTCTATGGCGGGGTGGTACAATACCAATCTATCTAGTCCAGAGCAGTAATCACCAGCTCAGAAGAATTTGCTGGGTCACTCCTGTGCGACAGAAAAATAAGTGGATCATCAGTCAGGTCTTGTGCGACATATTAATTTTTGCATATATATTCGAAAAAGAAAACATACTAACCAGTACCTATATTTTTTTCCTGAACAAATGTGAGAAAATGTGAAAGGAGGTCTAGTTGCAACACAGGACCAACTCCAAAAGTAAATAGTTACAGTAAAAGCATATGTTATGAAAGGCTGAGGGACTCGCAATTCCGAGATCGCCAGGCGTAAAACCAACTATGTCTTTCCGATAGATCTACATATGAAAAGGTAAGAAGATTCCGTTTACATGTGCTTTCAAAGAGCTCTTGGCATCATACGACAATACTAATTATGCCTCATGCCTCCTTAACTTTTTCCCAGGCATATATAAAGCATGTAGAGGTATGTGGAAGTTCAGCCAACTTTCCCAGAGAAAATAGTTTCACTAGCGTAGCTAACGCAAAATAAGGTATGTATATGCCAGAAGTTATGAATGTATGAGAGCGAGTTTTTCTCACCATGGGCCTTGTATTTAGGAAAGCAAGATGTCTGGTACTACTATTATTACTCTCAATTGTCTTCTTTCACCTAGCGGGGTAGCTCAAAGATCAAATTTATCAGAAGGAAGTATTACTACGCTTAAAATCTCTACCAACGAAACAGTTGATCAGTTAAGGATTATGATTAGAGAAAGGTGGCCACATTTATTTGAAAAGGTTCCTCCTGCCGAGTTTTTACTCTGGAAGATCAATGATACTGAGGGAGTTACATCAATTGAAAAGCAAATTGAAAAATTTGTTTGTGGGGAACGTCTAAACGAAACAGGAATGCCTCCACATGAGTTGATTTCTACGCTCTTCCCCGAGCCACCCCTAATGATAGAATTAATATTTATGTATTTATTTAAAACATCATGTAATAGCGATATAGTCGCATTTTTATGTATTGTAGGCCGACTTGGTAACGTTTTTTATTTCATAAATAAAGTATTATTTTACCAGTACATGAGAAACGGGTCACGTGTAATGATGCGGTCCATAAACTAGCCGTAAAGGCGCTTCGCATAAATCTAACATTTTTATCTAGCCTATATAAAAAACGTCAGGTGATAAGTGAGAAGAGTCTTTACGGTTAGGGAGGCGCAGTGATTAGGCGATCGTTGCACCTGGCTGATTATACGGCAGGCTTGTGAAACAGAATAATTTCTCACATATAGTCTGCCTCAGTATTTTTTTCGCCAAATAAAATCTTTTTTATTCTTGTCCTCACTTACGCCAGTTTGCACCAATAATATTCCGCAAAAAATACTATATAAGCCATAAACATGCCTATCACTTTACTATGTCTCGTCAAAGGAAATACGACCACGAGTGCTTTTGCCGTAGATATTGATAGGGAAAAGTTGGTTAGCCACCTCAAGGACACTATAAAGGCGAAAAAACAAAATGACTTCGCTGGTATTGACGCAGACAGGCTCAAGCTATGGAAGGTGTTGATCCCTGGCAATCAGAATGATCAATTAAGAAATCTAATACTTCAGGACAGTGACGAGCTATTGGCAATAAGAAAGATTTCGAAATATTTCCCAGACTCACCTCCCGAAAAACATATCCATGTTATTGTAAAATTGCCACGTAAGTGTCTGGAATAGTCTATGCAAAGCGCCTTAATGGCTAATTTTTCGTCATTTACCCTCGCATAATTTTAACTCATTCGTTTCCAGTTCTCAGCTTGGAAGAGGCGTTGTCGTGTATTCCACCACCCATAACATATTCTCTGGACTGTACTAAATCGAAGACCACTACAAAGGTTAATGGTGACCCACCGACAAGTGTACAATTATGGGGCGACTTTTTCGATAAAGTGAATCAATTCTGCTTCGACCAACAACCGATATTCGAGAGGCCAAAATTTGTGGTGAAAGAGATAGAAAATGAAGAGGATGTTCGAGGTGTTTTAGATTTCAATATTTGTCAGACATTGAATTATCTTTTGGGATCTGATCATAAATTTTCAAGACGTTCACCTGATACTCCTGGCATACCGGATTTCACCTGTCATCTCGTGGGTTCGTTGATCTTGGTGATTGAGGCAAAAAGAAAGCATGTTTTAGAAGATATGGACAAAAAAACATTTCCCGAGTTTTATCAGACGAGTAAAGGCAAGGATGTAGTTCAACAAATCTATAATTATATAAGAGGAAACGAACTTAGATACGGTATTCTTACCACCTACGATAATCACTGGTTTCTATACTGAGAACACAGGAAGCTCTGGATCTCAAAAACCCTTTCACTGGAATCTGAATCTCCACCGTACTCAAGGTATATGCTTATCTAACTCGACAGGCGAAAGAGAATCCCAACTCTCCTAAACCTCAAGTACTAGTGCCGGCTCAAGGGGATAATAATTCACATACTCTTCGATCAAACTCAAAATCATCATCCAGCTCTTCATTAACTAATCAGGCTTCCAGCACCTTTTCGAATCAACAATCATCTTCTAACGTTCCAGTAAACCAGCAAAAGTTTAGCTTTGCAGACTTCAAATTTAAGAGCATACTAGGTGAAGGTCGAAGTGGAAAAATGCTCCTATGCGAATTTCGTGGCGAAATGATTGCTTTGAAGAGTGTAGACTTATCGAAGGCTCCATCGTATGTCCTGGAAGAAATGCAAAAAGAAGTCGAGATTTATAAAGATCTAGCTGATATTCAAGGTAAGTATATCCCAAAGCTGATCTGTTATGGATATTATGGAGGAGTTATGAGCTTCGTTATCGGCATGACCATTGTCGGCACTTCGTTGAGCGAGCAAAAAATAAAGAAACGGCAAAAGACAAGGGCTATTAAGGGATTAGAAGCGATCCACAAGCATGGTATCCTCCACAATGATATTCGGGAGGAAAATATCTTAATTAACGATAAAGGTGCCCTATACCTGATTGACTTCGGAATGGCAAGCCGGGAGGACACAAAAAAGAAGAGAAAGCTTTTTGACGAGGAACAGCTCAAATTATCTCAATTGCTAGATGGATATATTGTGTAAGAATTTATTATTTTACAAATTCCTATACTACGATTACTTGTAATCCTAGTTTCTTATAATTAATAATCATGTATTTTACAGACATTTCGTAAAGAAGGAGGGGCGAATTAACCAAGTCACGTAAATGTCAGGTGGTTAGTAAGACTGTAGGGATATACATTAGACATTTAGTATAGAAGCGTTATGTATCACGGGCAATGTCCCAAACATTTGTATTTATTTTTCGCATGTATTAATAAAATATTTTTTTCTTGGCATTTTTCCGAGACCGCGCGGTTAGAGCTCCGCACGGGTAAGGGTCAATTCGGGTGACCCGTCGGGTTGACCTGAAATATTCAGGTCAGGTTGTCAAATTCGTGACCCGGTATCAGGTCGGGTTACAGGTTTGACCCGACCCGATTGACCTGTCAACCCGAATACTTTAGCTCAAAAAAAATGTTTATACTCTGAAATGGCGTTTTTTCATGTTACTTTATGAAAAAAATGCCGTTTCGGCATTGTTTTTTATAAACAAATACGCCAAAATGGCGTTTTTCATTTTATTTATGAAAAAATGCCGTTTTGGCATTTTTTTCACTTCTTTTATGAAAAAAATCGCCAAAGCGGCTTTTTTCATATTATTTTATGGAAAAATGCCGTTTCGGCATTTTTTCCCACTTCTTTTATGAAAAAAATCGCCAAAACAGCATTTTTTTATATTATTTAATGGAAAAATGCCGAAACGGCATTTTTTTCCACTTCTTTTATGAAAAAAATCGCCAAAGCGGCGTTTTTTCATATTATTTAATGGAAAAATGCCGAAATGGCATTTTTTTCTACTTTTTTTATGAAAAAAATTGCCAAAGCGGCATTTTTTTCTACTTTTTTTATGAAAAAAATTGCCAAAGCGGCATTTTTCCATATTATTTAATGGAAAAATGCCGAAACGGAATTTTTTTCACTTCTTTTATGAAAACATCGCCAAAGCGGTGTAAACGGCCGAATATCAAGTACGAAAAGATGATAAAATTCAACCGCCAAATGTAATTATCAAGTATTAAGAACGAATAAATTAATCGTGGATTGGTGTGGATGGATAAATAATTAGCCGAAAAGGATAAACATTTAAGAAGAGTAATGATCTACATGATGTAATATTTATCAAATGATTGACAAAGAACCAATAGGATAAATAGAGTCGATCAATTGCGGCTTGACGATCTTTAACAACAAGAACGATAAGAAAGAATAATTA